CTTCAAAATCTAAAACCCGAATAAACAGTTAGAACAGTGACAAACTGTAAAAGGATATTTGCAAAATTCATCACAGGATTTATATCCTGAACATACAAAGCACCAAAAATTAATTTTAAAAATAGTATCTGAAACACATTATTTACTAATATTTTTTAACATGTGGATGGAAAAAAAATAGCCCCCCCCCCCAAAAATGGGCAAAGGATGTGATCAAGGAACTTACAGGACAAGAAATAAAAATGGGTCCAAAAACATAAAAGATGCTCAAACTCACAGTTATCAGGAAAATGGAAACATAAAGAAATGAAACTGTTTCACCCAACAGATTGGTCACAAGTAAAAAGACCGATAACATCAGGTGTTGGTGAGGGCACTGCTATTTACAGGGTTGGTGGACCTTTTAGGGGCTGGTATATACTTTCTGAGGGAAACTGAGCATTTTTAATGTTTAAAATATGCGTATCTTCAACCTAGCAATTCATCTTCTATAGCCTCAAATAATACACATGTACAAAGAGGCCTGTAAAAGGATGCTCACTACCAACATTGATTGTAAAGCAGAAACTGGAAACCCTAATTTCCATAAAAAAAAAAGTTAAATAGACTAGACCCATATTCTGCAGATCTATGTAATAGCCGATAATGAGGATTTGTATGTTGACATGAGACCAACATGTTACCAAACGAAAATGCAAGTTGCAGAACAAAATGTACAGAATGCCATTTATGTTTTTAAAGAGACACAAAGGACTTCCCTGGTGGCGCAGTGGCTAAGAATCCACCTGCCCAAGAACATACAGTGGAGAAAAGACACCCTCTTCAATAAGTGGTGCTAGGAAAACCAGACAGCTACATGGAAAAGAATGAAATTAGGGCTTCCCTGGTGGCGCAGTGGTTGGGAGTCCGCTGGCCGATGCAGGGGACACAGGTTCGCGCCCCGGTCTGGGAAGATCCCGCATGCCGCGGAGCGGATAGGCCCGTGAGCCATGGCCGCTGAGCCTGCGCGTCCGGAGCCTGTGCTCTGCAACGGGAGAGGCCACGACAGTGAGAGGCCCGCGTACCGAAAAGAAAAAAAAAAAGAATGAGATTAGAACACTCCCTAACACCATACACAAAAATACACCCAAAATGGATTAAAGACCTAAATGTAAGGCCAGACACTATAAAACTCTTAGAGGAAAACATAGGCAGAACACTCTATGACATAAATCACAGCAAGATCCTTTCTGACCCACCTCCTAGAGAAATGGAAATAAAAACAAAAATAAACAAATGGGACCTAATGAAACTTCAAAGCTTTTGCACAGCAAAGCAAAACATAGAAAAGACCAAAAGACAACACTCAGAATGGGAGAAAATATTTGCAAAAGAAGCAACTGACAAAGGATTAATCTCCAAAATGTACAAGCAGCTCATGCAGCTCAATATCAAAAAAAACAAACAACCCAATCCAAAAATGGGTAGAAAACCTAAACAGACATTTCTCCAATGAAGACATACAGATGGACAAGAAGCACATGACAGGATGCTCAACATCACTAATCATTAGAGAAATGCAAATCAAAACTACAGTGAGGTATCACCTCACACCAGTCAGAATGGGCATCATCAGAAAATCTACAAACAACAAATGCTGGAGAGGGTGTGGAGAAAAGGGAACCCTCTTGCACTGCTGGTGGGAATGTAAATTGATACAGCCATTATGGAGAACAGTATGGAATTTCCTTAAAAAACTAAAAACAGAACTACCATATGATCCAGCAACCCCACTACTGGGCATATACCCAGAGAAAACCATAATTCAAAAAGACACATGCACCCCAATGTTCATTGCAGCACTATTTACAATAGCCAGGTCATGGAAGCAACCTAAATGCCCATCGACAGACAAATGGATAAAGAAGTTATGGTACATATATACAATGGAATATTACTCAGCCATATAAAGGAACGAAATTGAGCCATTTGTTGAAACGTGCACGGATCTAGAGACTGTCATACAGAGTGAAGTAAGTCAGAAAGAGAAAAACAAATATTGTATATTAACACATGTATGTGGAACCTAGAAAAACGGTACAGATGAGCTGGTTTGCAGGGCAGAAGTTGAGACACAGATGTAGAGAACAAACGTATGGACACCAAGGGTGGAAAACCGCGGTGGGGTGGGGATGGTGGTGTGCTGAATTGGGCGATTGGGATTGACATGTATACACTGATGTGTGTAAAACTGATGACTAATAACCTGCAGTATAAAAAAACAAACAAATAAAACAACTAATACTAAACTTTCTTTGGGTTACTTGTATGGAAATACGTTAATATAAATGTTTCAGACGTTACATGAAATTCCTAAAAATCTCATATGTTCTGGTATAACGTTGTAAGTCATAATTCTAGTTATTACTTTAAAATGTGTATCTCAGAAATAACTAAATTTCCTTGTCAATTGCATTATTATGAACTTTCATCCAATCTTTAACCGCGGTCATTTTTAAGGCTTTTGTCATTTACAGACAGTGCTGGGTGCACTCTGATGCTTTTGCAAATATGTTCCTATAAAAGGGTTTCATCATCAAGGAATTCATGGAAAAGACTCTGACAAGTACAGGTTTCTGGTAACTGACTCTACTGCTGAACTGAACGAAGAAGCATTTTCAGAACTCTAATGGAAAACTGGTGAACTCATAAAAGCGCCAACAAAAGATCAAGAAGAAAAAAATTAATTACACGGGACTGAGTGGACTGATGAGGATGGTTATAATTTTTGTGACTTTCTGTTTGAATAAAAAAAAAAAATCCCACAAGGACTCAGAGGCAAAAAATATACAAATCAATTTTCACTGCAAAGTAAAGGAGCTGCTACAGTGGAGGATTCCTGGACTGAATGTCAATATTACAACATAGTGTGAGTGTGTTTCGTGTTTGGTAACTGCAATCATTGTTGCTTTTGTTGTGGTCACCCATTTACAATGCTTGGTGTCAGTTTATCTCTTGTAAAAATAAAATACAGTGTGTGTGTGTGAAGAAAAAAAACAGTCGTGTACCACAATGTTCATTGCAGCACTATTTACAATAGCCAGGACATGGAAGCAACCTAAGTGTCCATCGACAGATGAATGGATAAAGAAGATGTGGCACATATATACAATGGAATATTACTCAGCCATAAAAAGAAACGAAATTGAGTTATTTGTAGTGAGGTGGATGGACCTAGAGTCTGTCATACTGAGTGAAGTAAGTCAGAAAAGAGAAAAATATCAACAACAAATATCGTATGCTAACACACATATTTGGAATCTAAAAAACAAGCAAAAAAAAGGTCATGAAGAACCTAGGGGCAAGACGGGAATAAAGACGCAGACCTACTAGGGAATGGACTTGAGGATACAGGGAGGGGGAAGGGTAATCTGGGACAAAGTGACAGAGAGGCATGGATATATATACACTACCAGACGTAAAATAGCTAGTGGGAAGTAGCCGCATAGCACAGGGAGATCAGCCTGGTGCTTTGTGACCACCTAGAGGGGTGGGATAGGGAGGGTGGGAGGGAGGGAGACGCAAGAGGGAAGAGATATGGGGATATATGTATATGTATAGCTGATTCACTTTGTTATAAAGCAGAAACTAACACAGCATTGTAAAGCAATTATACTCCAATAAAGATGTTAAAAAAAAACAGAGAGAAAAGGCAGTCCACCAAAAAAAAAAAAAAGTCCGCCTGCCAAAGCAGGGACACGGGTTGGAGCCCTGGTCCAGGAAGATCCCACATGCCGCGGAGCATCTAAGCCCGTGCGCCACAACTACTGAGCCTGCGCTCTAGAGCCTGTGCTCCACAACAGGAGAGGCCACCACAGTGAGGCCCGCATACAACAACGAAGAGTAGCCCCTGCTCGCTGCAACTAGAGAAAGCCTGTGCACAGCAACAAAGACCCAACGCAGCCAAAAGTAAATAAATAGATAAATTTTAAAAATAAAATAGTATTAAAGAGACACAAAACTATGTGTTTTATATATCGTTGCAAGAGGGAAGGCAGGTCAGAGGGGACATTCACTGCACCAGGATATACTCGTTTCACCCATACAACTTTTTACCAGCTCCTTCCAAACGGCTGTCAGCTGACATGGTGACCACACGGAAATCCAGTGTGTCTGTATTTCCTCCCCCCACCCCTTTTTCTGGTCTATCCTATGTCCCAGATCATTTCATGATTCACTTTCCTAAAGCAAAGAGCAATTATTTATTAGGCGTTTGCCTTTATGTATATACCCAGCACTTCGTAATGGAAGAATGCTTTAGGAAGGCATCTTGTAATAAAAAGCACTGATTATAACAGGAAGTGACATGAGACACAGAGGGTGGGGACAGGGAACCAGTCAAAAGGCTTCCCAACGCCTGTAAGGTAAAGACCCAGGACTGTCCACAGTCGGCTTCGACGTATTTTTCTGACCCACTGCTTCTTCCCACCACAAGCCTCCAGAGTGACCTGGCTTTACCCTGTGCCCGGACCTCTGTCCACAGCTACTTCTCTTCCCAAATCTTGCTTCCTTTAAAAATACAGGCTCAAAGGGGTTATTTATGGGTAGAGGGGCTCAGTTTTGGAAAATGAAGAGCTGTGGAAATCGGTGACACAAAAACACAAACGTAATCAACACTGCTGAGCTGTGCGCTAAAGATGGTGAAGATGGTCAAGTTTATGTTATGTGTATTTTACCACAACTGGGACAAAAAAGAAAAAGAAATCAGAAGCTGATTTACCTCTCAAAAAAAAAAAAAGGCTCCAATCACACTCCCCGCAGGTCTCCCACGACCAGCCTTTCATTCTCTTCCCAGCTCGGTGGCCCGTGACGCGTTTCTAACAGCCCCTAAGTTTGCCTCCTGACCCCTCCCTCCCGACGTGGCTGCAGGCGCCAGAACAGTGCTCAGTAAACACCTGCCGCTCGGTGACTGGCCTCAGCGGCAAAATCAACGTACAGAGAAAATGATAAACCGCAGTAACTGCTTTAATGTTAAAAATATTTATTTTTCTAAAAGATCACACAAAAGTCGGGAAGAGATAGAAGGGTGTCAGCTAGCCTATGTCAAAATCTGAGCCGAGGGAGGACAAGAGCTGCCTGAAGACACTGGTGCCGGAGCCGCCTGCGGAGATGGGGGCGGCCACGGGCCCTCCTGCGGGAGGGGGCAGGGGCTCACTCCTTAGACATGCTCTTGATGGTCTTGTGCTCCTTCATGGCCTTCTCCCAGTCGCTGCCGTTGAACTCCTCGACCACCACGCTGCGCACCGTGCCCTCGTCCAGGCAGTGGGGGGCGATCCCTACAGGGAAGCCAGGGGGGCGTGAGACCCGGCAGCAGGCTGGCTCTCAGACCAACCCAGCCCGCAGGTGTCGCAGGAAGTGGGCTCTCCGAGGGGCCCTGAGCCCCTGCTGCTGGCCCACTCCCCCCATCTCTGAGATGGGGGCCAGGGACTCGCGGCTGGACCTCACTCAGTACCAAGCTGGGAGGACAAAGGCGGGGGAGGCCTCGAGCCCAGAGCCACCTCCGCCTGGCAGCCTGGAGGTTTCACAGGCCTGGTCCAGGGCTCAGAGGGGCAGCTTTCTGAGCAATAAACACCTCCCCATCCATACAGGAAGGTCAGCAGGAAAGACTCTCCATGTGACAGATGAGGAGGAAACGGGAGCTGCTACGGGGAGAACGGAGGGGGGGGAAGGGGGGAGGCAGGGTGACGTCACGCGCTCCGCCCGCCCCGCCCCCCCCCCACCAGGCTCGAGGCTGTCGCGGCCGCCCCACTGCAGCTCTGGAGGCTGCGTCTCTGCGGGGCCGGGATTCCAGGAGCATCCTCCACGGCTACGTCCCACCCTATTCGCACGGCGGCTGGTATCATTCTCGACAACTGCCTAAGGTGGGATGCTCTGCCCCCAGATCTAAGTAGGACCCGAAGACGGGCTTGGGGTTTCTGTGCTTGTGTTTGAACAAACCCAGTTTTTCTTACTGGCATCATCCCTGCCCCTCACTCTTGCCTCCCTCACTCCCTCCCCCGCCCCCAGGCCCCCGGCCTCTCTCTACCCTCCACCGTCAGCCCCAGCAAAGTCCAGCTCCCTCAGCGGCAGGAAATGCGGGTCAGGATCCGGATGGTCTCGGAAGGGCCAGGGCCAGGAGAGAGCTCTGCTGGTGAGCCCCGTTCCTCACACACGTGTGAGGGGCCTGGCCAGGCAGGAGGCAGCCTGTGACACCAGAGCGCCCTCCCCAAGCTTCCCATCCGCGTGGCCGCAGGGCGTCGGTGCCCCGAGCTTGGCCCCCCTTCACTCACCGAAGCCTCCGGGGTTGGAGCGGGGAGAATAAAAGCTCTGGACGCCGCACCTCTTACAGAAGGTGTGCTGCGCCTTGTGGGTGTTGAAGGTGTATGTGGTGATGCTCTCGGCTCCCTGAGGGACACAGACAAGGAGCTTCAGTTGTTGTTTACAAAGACAAATCGTCTAAAAGGCTCAATGGGGAAACCCAACTCGCCAGGCTCCCGGGGTCACGTCCAACCTGAGGTCGGGGCCCCATCTGCACGGCCCAGAGACCCGTCAGCCTGGAGTGTGACAGCTGAGGGCTTCTCCCTAGTCAGCTGCACACAGAACACCCCGGCCTCGAGCTTGCCCTGCATCCCTGGCCTAAACCGGGGAAGGGGGGGGGGTCAGCCGAGGGACTGGGTCCCCGTGTCCCCAAACTCAAGGTCCTAAGAACACACTCACTGGACTCAAATTCATCTACAAAGGACCAAGTAGGAAAGAACATCTGCCAGACGTCACAGGCTAATTTCCTTAATGGAGAACACAAACGGGAAACTGGACAGAGGATATGAACAGACAGTTCAGAGGAATGGGGAAAACACATCTCTCTTTAACCTGTGAAATATCCACACTCACAAACTGCAATGAGGTAGTTTTCACTCGGGGCAAAAATTAAAAAGTGAGCTATAATATCAAAAAACAAACAACCCAATCCAAAAATGGGCAGAAAAAGACATTTCTCCAAAGAAGATATACAGATGGCCAACAAACACATGAAAAGATGCTCAGCATCACTAATCATTAGAGAAATGCAAATCAAAGCTACAGTGAGGTATCACCTCACACCGGTCAGAATGGCCATCATCAAAAAATCTACAAACAATAAATGCTGGAGAGGGTGTGGAGAAAAGGGAACCCTCTTGCACTGTTGGTGGGAATGTAAATTGATACAGCCACTATGGAGAACAGTATGGAGGTTCCTTAAAAAACTAAAAATAGAACTACCATATGACCCAGCAATCCCACTCCTGGGCATATACCCTGAGAAAACCATAATTCAAAAAGAGTCACGTACCACAATGTTCACTGCAGCTCTATTTACAATAGCCTGGACATGGAAGCAACCTAAACGCCCATCGACAGACGAATGGATAAAGAAGACATGGCACATATATACGATGGAATATTACTCAGCCACAAAAAGAAACGAAATTGAGTTATTTGTAGTGAAGTGTATGGACCTAGAGTCTGTCATACAGAGTGAAGTCAGAAAGAGAAAAACAAATACCGTATGCTAACACATATATATGGAATCTAAAAAAAAAAAAGGTCCTGATGAACCTAGGGGCAGGACAGGAATAAAGACACAGACGTAGAGAATGGACTTGAGGACACGGGGAGGGGGAAGGGTAACCTGGGACGAAGTGAGAGAGTGACATGGACATATATACACTACCAGATATAAAATAGATAGCTAGTGGGA